CTCGGCGCGCCAGGAATTTATCGGGCCGGCCCGCCAGGCTAGCCCTGCCGACCTGCCCCGGCAGATTATAGCAGCAGGACCAGGACGTCCCGCTCGGGCCCTGGAACGGGGACAGGACGCATCACGCGCATGTCAGGATTATGAATTTGACGTCATCCCCACTGGCAATTTCAAGAATCCAGTCAAGCAGTCGAGTCGTTGTCCAGCGGCGCGTTTCCTGGCGTCAACTACCGCGCGCTGCGGGTCGCGTGCGGCACCCGCCAGGGCGAGGCATTATATGCACCAGCCTTACGCCCTGTCTCTCTGGTGCTTCCGGATCATGGATGCCAGCGCCAGAGTAGTGGTCATCGGCCAGAACGGCCAACAATGGGAACAGCCAGCAGCGCGACGAGCCATTGACGCCTACGTGCTTGATTTCAGCATGCACCGGGTTTGCCGCAAGCGTTTGGCCCCAGAAACCAAACGCAGCATCGATGCAGTCGTGACGATAAATGGGCACCCATCAACGACCAGCTGTGCAGGTGCACAATCATGCTGCAGGTGCACGTCGACGACTGGATGATCACTAAGCAGCGCATGCGTACTTGGCCCTGGTGCGCCTCGAGGTCTTACGGCTTGCGCCCTATTGCAGTCGCACTTCAAAAGCAGGGGCGCGCCGACGAGGACACGCTCTCGACGAGGCACGCCAGGAGCTTCAGCACCAGAAACGAAAGCCTCTTCCTGTTCAATGGCGACTGGCAAGCGCGACGCCGTGCAGCACGCTCAGGACATTAAGAATAACAATCGCAGCAACGTCAGGCACGTCCAGAATCCAGAACGACAAGCACCAGCTGGCACGGGAGGCGTCTGGCAACTATGCTCCCAGCGCCGATCCCACTGCAGAGCGGGGGACATCTGGTGACTATGTCGCCACTGCCCACCCTGCAGCTGCGCGCGTGCGCCAGGGGAAGAAGGATAATTCAAAAGAGGGCCATGTGCCCAAGGCTAGGAAGAAAATCGTCGAGGACCACCACGACGACTGCGGATCCGACCTCGCGGGCCTCGCCCCCGATCCGTTCGGAGTCCCAGCCGTTGGCGAGCCGGGTCGCGCCGACGAGTGCGACGAGGACGAGCTCCATGGCAACCTCGCCTCAGGTTTGCCTGCGCGGTGGTTCCAGGGATCGTCGGCCACGGCATCGGACCGCCATGTGGAGAGCGCTCGAACGACGCCACAGCACTCCGAGTTCAGTTCCATTCACCACCTCCTCACCTACCTCACCTCTCCCGACTACGGCGTCGACACCATTGAGGTTTCCGGCGAGAAGGCTCGGAGTGGCCGACTTGCTGTCCGACGCCACCTCAAAGTTGGTGAACAGTTTGACTTCGCCACCGGCTGCGACCTCGAAGATGAGGGCCAGCAACCAATCGTGGAGGCGTGCATGCGACAGAACCTGGCCCCAGTGGCCACCATGGCTCTCGCACGCCGGCCATTCGGTCGTTGGGCGACGTTTCGCTACAAGCAGATCTACGTCCCCGTCCTCGCCCCTACGAGGACGTGGCCCCGCGCGGTCGATTCTGAGGCCACATAGCACAGCTACGGCTCGAAGTAGGCGGCTACTTCGTCAATGAGCAACCCGACCCGTCGCTGCTGCGCTACGAGCCGCCGTGGCCAGAGGTGCTTGTAGCACCCGGCGTGGACATGATCATCTTCGACCTGTGCATGCTCGGACTCCGTGATCGGCATGGGGGTATTCAGCGGAAAAACCACGGGCCTGGTCACCAACGCCCCAGAGATCACCGAGCAGTTCGGCAACCTCAATTGCCCGAACAAGCACGCGCACGTTCACGTCGAGGGCCAGCAGCTTCGACGCCCGTGCTTGGTCATGGGCCATGGAAGGTGGCCGAGGGACCCATCCAAGGTATTGTGGACCTACGTCGCCGCCTCATGCGTCAGCCCATCTCGCGACCCCAGTTCGCGAATGCGACGACCTGGCGGAACCTTCCTAGCAGTGGCCTCCGGAGCCACGAGGGCGAGATCCGGAGTGAAACGGCCGCCGAGCGCGCGCTACGCGCGCAGGGCGTGCAAGCGCAACGCGCGGGCGGCGGGCGGATTGACCCACTCACTCCAGGGATCCGACCACGCGCGCGCCGATACCCTCACAGTGCTCCTATCCATTGGGGGTGCCCGGGCTGCTGCGAGAAGAAGCATGCGACCGCCCTGCGCGCGCTCACGAGGTCAGCAAGTGCAGGTTTGCGGACCCTCGCATGCGGCCGATCCCACGCGACGGCCAACGCCCACGAGCACCAGCACGACCTGGAGGACCGCGCCACTCCAGCGACCAACAGGCCCAACTACCAGGCAGTGCCGACTTCGGAGCATCAGACGAGGCTGCTCTACCACCAGCACCCGCGGGCAGATCCGGAGCTAGCTTATCGTCCAGCGCTGAGGCTCAGGGTGGCGGTTCCAGCGACTGTGTTGCTGGACCGCAGGGTTCTGGTTCCGGTGATTGCGTTGCCAGACCAGGACTGCGAGCCAGCCCAGTAACAGGGGCAGTGCCCAGACGGACGGCACTACGCGCCACCGACGCAGCAGCAGGCAACCCGATTCCTTCCGACTGGATTCGCTTCGACGTCGGTCGCCACGTCACTGCGATCATTGCGCAGGGGCTTGTATGAGACACGCATTCGTGAACTGCGCGAGCTGCACCTGGTGGCACGCCACACAGAACGAGATGGCACGAGCACGATGCGCAGCCAACGTTCCCCAATGCATTCTCGACCTCACCACCGCAGTTGTCAACAACAGTAGGGGATGCCGGAAGGGGAAACCACCAGCACACCAAACCATCCCCACATTCCTTGGTCACTTCCCTTCGACTCGATTCAGCCAGCACGTCCAGTGCGACAGTTCTGTCTAGGCCTTTTCTACAAGGATCGCTCGATCACGCACCTGATCTGCTGCGCCTCACGGTGGCGCAACGGCCAGGATATTGACCCAAGGCAACGCGCGACGCTTGCTGCCACTGACCGATCGTGGACCCAGCTGTTCGGCGCGTCACGCGCTCACCGGAGAGCAACATCAAGCCTGCCAAGTGGGGCCCGGAGCTCGAGGTCAAGCGCGAGGCCTCCTGGTCTTTGCCCCGCCGGCGACTCGAAGCTATAGTGCTCGTGCTATCCAAACGCGTCGACGATCTGAAGAGCGCCGGGCGCAAGGAGCACGTCGACCTGCTCGTCGGTTACATGGGGGGCGGCCTCGGCAACATGAAGGGCGATTGCGACGATTTCACCAATGGCGGGGCGCGCCGACACCGTAATGGCGCTCGACCAGGACGAGCGCCTCGACGCCCTGATGCCGATCAAGCACGTCGACCTGGTCAAGGCGAAGGCCGACGCGGCCGAACGTCTTCTGCCGGACCTATTTGTCTCTTTATTGGGAGCAGCGTCTTGCTCACCCAGCGCCGCGCCGGCGCGCGCGATGCGGCGCTGCAGAGGGCCAGGAACCGGCTGCCATTGCGCCGCGGGAGGATGCGCGACGCAGTTGTCTTGGCCATGCAGAAGTTCTAGGCGCGCATTGCCTCTCCTGTCATCGAATGCGTGGGCCAGCTCTGCCCGCGCAGACACGAGCCCTTCAGGAGGGAGCAGGAGACATATTGCGGCATAGTAGGAGCCGTGCACGTGCGCCTGGGCAGGCGTCCCCCTCCCAGCGAGGAGGCGCGCCGCTTGCTCGACGCCGCGATCCGATCAAGCTCGCGTGCGGAACATCAGTTGGCTCGGAGTTGATCGCAGCAGGCGAATCCGCAGGCGGCCTGCAGGCGCATCTCCTCGCGCTCCACGAGAGGATCCGTGGGCCCGCCTCTTCTGAAGAGCTCAGTGGGCTGAGGGAAGAGGGAGGCTACACAACGCTTGCAACGCTGGTCGTGGACGGCATGCCCGTCTTCGCGGGATTGGCGGTGGCGGTTGCCAGATCAATGTCGCAGGAAACAGATTGAGGACATGCTTTGGCGCGACACTCGCGACGTGTGGGCCGACCTCATGACCGAGGGGAGTATCGGCCAAGACCTGATCTTGGACATCATGAGCGGCCAGATCAGCTGCGACCACAGCGCCGCGAAACTGAGCGAGGAGCGACACGATAAGTTCGTGCCCAGAACCCAGCACAGTGATCTCACAATCAAGATGAAGGGCAATTCGAATGATTGAATAGTCAAGTGCCTGCATCTCTCGGACTATGCTCGCGAATGCGATTGTGCCAGTAATTATTGGCACCTCAATGCGAACTCATTGGGTGGACACTGTACGCACTGCACTGAGTGGGCAGTTGTACGCAAACGCGACGACGTCAACGGGTCGTCCAACATCGCGGGCAGTGGTGGCCCGGGCTTGCATGACCACGTCATCGTAGTTCACGGCCTCAGTGTGGGCAGGGAACGACACAAAAACATGCGTCTCGCGAACTACGTTCGCGAATTCGACATAGCAAAGCATGCGAATGAACGGGCTGTTTCTATGAACCATGTTCGCGGAGCAGCAGGCGATAATCGAATTGCCTGCTGCCTGGTAGCTTTATATGAGGCTTCGTCGATTTCGTCGTTTGCCGCGCGGTTTGCTTGCGGCGGCCAACGACACACAATAGTTTCGTGTGAGCACAAGACTCGAACAGTGTGTTCCCCTAGGACATGCCCTTTTCCTGCCCTGACTGTCCGACCACGTTGGCTCAAGGTGTTCACTTGGCGCGCCCGCCTTACTATCGCTTTACAATCTGCCTTTTCGTATCCGCGCACACATGCGTACCACATTTCCCATTTCAATTTTACTTTCTGGTCCCCTCCCCCTCCCCCTCTTGCTCCTTCCCCCACGAGCTGGACGAGCAGAAGGAGGAGGAGGACAAAGACAACGAGGAAGTCGGAAGAACGACCAGGACAACGACGGCGAAGTGGACGAGGTGGAGGAGGAGGAGGACGAGGAGGAGGAGGAGGACGACGACGACGAGGACGACGACTTCAGGAGAAAGGGGGCGCCAGGCCGCGAGTACCTCTGCGACGCGCAGGACCGAAAACCCCAGGAGCTGCCCCCCGAGGGCTTCGACTCCACCTACGACCCCCGGGAGCAGTGCCATCGCGTGTTCAAGGATTCCACGCCTCCCGGAAGGGGTCCGAGCAGATGGGGCCGGAGGATCGCGCTGCATCGGCGATGCATCAGCGATGCGGCTCGACATGGAACCCGACTTTCTCCACGCCGACGGCTGCGATGCATTGGCGCTGCGGCGCGATCCTCCGATCTCATCTGATCGGACCCCATGTGGGAGGCATCCAAGGACTTCGGCCGGGTGTGCCCCGTCTTCATAGCACGCGCCTTTCTGGCCGAGGCCGAGGTCGAGGTGCTCCCCGAGCTTCCCACCCACTGGACAGCCAGCGCGATGCCTCGAGAGGGCTGGCGAGTCGTGCCAATGCCCACCGAGTCTGCCGAGTTCCGCTGCCTCCAGCAGGCGCTGAAGACGGATCCCCGCGAGCTTGGCAAAGGCCGAGATGTCAAGGAGGGTTCGAGCAAGTATTCTCAGCTCAAGCTAGTTCGTGCCTGGCGAGTTGAGCACCCGCCCCTTTGGCGCCGCTACGCTACAGAGCGGCACACGATTGCTGAGCAGATCCGGCAGTGCAAGTTGGAGATCAAGAACCCGAGGATTCGGCGGGAGTTGTGGGGCGCTCTTAAAGGGCTCCCACAAGAACTCCAGAAGAACGTCAATGAGGCGCATTTGCTACACGGAACGTCTCCCGATATTGTCTTGCAGTTGCTCAGCAATGGTCCCAACGAGCGCTTCTCAACCGTAGCCATGTTCGGTAACGGCAATTATTTTGCCGAAGACGCTGCAAAGACGGATCAGTACGTTAGGTGTGATCCGTCATATTGTCGCAAACATGCAGGTGTCCTTCATGAGCTACATAAGCGGTTGTACAGCACCAGCAATTCGCATCCTGGGAGTGTCTATTACGTGTTTGTATGCCGTGTGGTGCTGGGTTGCTTTGTAGCAAATGAGAAACCAGGAATTGGTGAGTGGGAAGGGATCTACGCCAGCCCCGCTGCCAAGGAGCTCGCGGTTGTGCCCAGGGTCACGCCGCCGGTCCACTACCATTCCTTGGTGGCAGATGTTAGAGATTTACGGTTTCGGGAGTTCGTGCAATTCCACGACACCCGTATATTTCCAGAGTACCTCTTGGCGTATCAGCGAGCTCGTTGAGGCGTTTGGGAATATTGTCGGCGCTACGTGGATTTCAGCGTGGCGGCTCGCGCATGGATCTTCATCCTGCGCGTTCGCCCATTTCACGACTCCATGACCCACTGCATCATGGAGCCTCGCGGTGGGCCAGCGCGCAGGCAGGTGGAAGGGAGAGGTGGCAAGGACTGACTGGAGGAGGAACGGGAGGCCTGAGCGGGAGCCGTGCAGCCCGATCGGCCGGAAGCACCAGGATGATCCTCTCGCTCCTTCTCGTCCTCCTCCATCCTGCTCATGATCAGGAGGGAAAAAGCACACGGACACGATCAGTCGTCGACTCCCGGGAAGATGTGGGACGATCTGGGAAGTGGGGGGGACGACAGAAGCCCAGAACATATGGGAGAGTGTGGGGAATTTGGTTGTTTGTGTGTATTTCTTTGTGTGTCACAGGGCCCCTTCATTATGAGGAGCTCCTCCCTGCGGCACCCCGAAGCGTGCCGGTATGGGGCGGGCCAGGCGTTTCGTCGGAGACGTCCGGATCTTGGAGCTCGAAATGCGCAACAGTTTCCCGGATGGAGGGCGGGTCCTTTTTAGGATGCTAAATGCGAACCCTACCCCTACCCCCCCACGATTTCTGAGGGGGGGGGGGGTTCACTTCGCTCGGGAGCTCCCGAACGAAATGAACCCTGCCCTCCCCCTCAGGAATCGTGGGGGGTAGGGGTAGGGTTCGCATTTGGCCCTACTTTTCAACATGTGGCTCCCGCCTCAGCGCCGCGCACGTTCGTCTGGAAAGCTCGCAGCAGCTTCACTGATGGGAGAGCGGGCGGTTCGCAGAATGCGGCTCTCGCCTCAGCGCCGCGCACATTCGTCGATCGTGTTGTCACAGCTTCAAGGATGGAGGGCGGGTGTTTTTTAAACTGATGATCTCCCCTGAGCGCCGCGCACAGCTGTCCCAAAAGTTTGCAATGGCTTCAAGCAGTTGTATGGTTGAAGTCCCAGACACTGTTCTGGTACGATCTAGAACTGCCCAGAACAAACAGTCATGTTGATTCGCGGAAGGAGGAGGACGGCCGTTCGCGGAGGAGGAGGAGGAGGAGGAGGAGGAGGAGGAGGAGGATAAGGAAGTCCCAGGAACGGCGTTTTGGCAAGATTTCGGATGATCAGGGCGCAGTAGTCGCGCTGTTCCGCGGCGTTGCAGTCCCATGAATTGCGTCTTGGCGCGACTGACAATTCTCAGACGGTTGTCTTCGAGTGGGCCGTTCCCCGCACTGAAAATAAATTCTCTCAGGGGCCTGCGCAGAGGGAATCTGGAGGGAGGGTGTAATGCGACATCGTTGATGCGTCTTGGGTTAACACTGGTCCTCGTCCTCCTCCTCCTCCTCCCTCTCCTCTCCCCCCCCTAACTCTGCTCCTTCCCCCTTCTCCTCCCTCTCCCCCCTCCTCCCCCCCTCCTCCCTCCTCGTCATCCTCGTCATCCTCCCTCTCATCCTCCATGTCCTCGCCCCTCCTCCCATCCTATTCCTCCTCTTCCTCCTCCTCCTCCTCCTTCTCCTCCTCCTCCATCCTCCTCCTCCTCCTCCTGCTCCTCCTCCTCCTCCTCCATCCTCCTCTTCCTCCTCCTCCTCCTCCTCCTCCTCCTGTCCGACTCCATTTCTTTACCCCGAGGTGCGTCGGTAGGGCGCGCCAGGCGATGTGTCTGAGATGGCGCCACCGTTTAACTTACCGGAACTAGATATGTGCACCAGGTTCACAGATGGAGGGCGGGTCCTTCTCAAAGTGTGGTTCTCGTTCGCGCCTCGCACATTCGTTTGCGGATGGAGGGCGGGCCGATGTCAAATTGTGGCTCTCGCCTTAGCGCCGCGCGCAGTCGTTGTAACAGTTTGCAAGAGTCTCACGAATGGTGGGCGGGTCGTTTTAAACATGTGGTTCTCGTTTTAGCGCCGCGCACGTTCGTTATGCAAAATGCAAGCGTTTCATTGATAGAGGCGGTTATGTTTTCAACTTGTTGCTCCCGGTTTAGAGCTGCGCACGTTCGTCTAAACAGTTTGGACGGGTTTCACGGATGGAGGGCGGGTCGTTTTCAACATGTGGTTATGGTTTTAGCGCCGTGCACATTTCTTTCAAAATGTTGCAATGATTTCACGGATGGAGGGCGGGTTGTTTTGAAAATGCGGTTCTCGTTTCAGCGCCGCGTATATTCGTCTCAAAAGTTTGCAGGTCGTTTTCAAGATGTGGCTATCGCCTTGGCACCGCGCACATTCGTTTTAAAAGTTTACATCGTGTAACGGGTTATTATGGCTGGCGTCCCAGAAATTGCGTTCCAGTATGATTCTTAGGCTTACGCCACACCGCCGACCCCTTGCTTCTTAGGCTTACGCCACCCCCCCCACATCGCCAGAACGAAGACGGGCCGAACGAGAACCGAACGCGCCGTCGGGGACACCGCGAACAGTTGGTCCGGACGCGTCGGTGGCGCGCCTGGGTGAAAGGGTCGCCGGGGGAGGAGACGACGGGAAGGGGGGCGTGGATGTCGTGGCGACGGCAGGGTGCGAACGCCCGCCAGCAACAGCTCCGACACGCATTCGGCGAGCGGTGCCTGGAGGCGCCACGACAGGTGGAAACGACGGCCCACGCGCGTGCGTTCCCGCGCGCGGGTGCGCCAGTGTCTGTGGCGAAGGGTGCCGCGAGGGGGCGTGCGGAAACCGGACGGGTTCTGCAGGCCCCGCGACCGCGGCGGATGTGCATGGGGGCGCGCGGGGCGACGCCGTGGACCGTGAGGCTCCGGGTCGTATCGAAACCCCAGAGGCGGACGAGGCGCAGGAGTGGTTCTTTGCGGCCCGCGTGAACCCGGACTCACAAGATCCTCGGAGGAACCGAGAAAAGGCCGTGGCAGAAGCGGCGGAGCTCTTGCGGGAGTCCCCGGGCGTGCCCGGTGACCCGGAAGACCCGTCCGTTCCGTGGGGGGAAGCGTTGGCCGAAGACAGTGCGGTTGAACTACCGGCTGCGCACTGCGCGTTCCGCGGCTGTCGATGGTCGGGAAACATAGAAGCGGAGTTGATCGAGCACGTGGCCGTGGGGCACGGGGAAGTCCTACAGCCAATCGCAGACACGCACTCCCCGGCACACGAGGAAAGCGAGAGGATTCGGGCGGCGTACAGCGAAGTGGTGTCGCAGAAGACGCGACAGGACGCGCCGCTCTCCACGTACGCAATGTATCGACGCAGCCTGAAAGGATATGCGGACGCGACAGCCAGCGGGAACGTGTGTGCGCCGATATGCTTTCTCTGCGCCTGCTCATTTCCCTGGGTGGCCGACCGAGAAAACAACGAAATTTCATGGGAGAAATTGTTTGAGAGCGATCCAGGAGATAGTTCTCGAGTAGCGCGCCTGGGTGCGTGGTCCATCGCGGACGCCCGGCGGGAGTTCGGTCTCCCTGCGTACTTGCGGAGGTACAGGTACGAGGAGGGACACGAGCAGCTCGACCTGATGAAACATGTGGAAGAATTTCGCGATTATAAGCTGCGCGTGCAGTGCTCTCGTGGGTCAGGAGTGCCCGGGGGCTGGTTCGACTTGTTATGTTGTCCAGAGGATGTGCGCTGCACGGGCGGGTGCGTGGAAGCGAAGACCGCGTGTCCTCAGTGTGAAGTGCCGGTCTGTCGGGAGTGCGCCGCGGGCCTCAAGACCCCGAACATGAAGTGGGACGGAGCAGAGGCACGGGAGAAGCCAGTGATGCCTGCGCGCTGCCTGGCGAACGATCTTATGACGTTCTATGGACCACGCAGCATGTACGACGACGGAATGACCGTGACGGAGATGATATGTTGCAGTCCGTGCATAACCTCGATGATATGCTTTTCGCTGGAAGTGAAGTACCAGAATCTGTTCGACTCGGTCGCAGGGATGCAGGCAACGCGGGTTGCGGCGCGCGGAATGCAACCTCGTTCGCGTTGCCGTGGCAGGGTATCCTTGCAGAATTGCGGCGAAAGGAGAGATTCCAACAGAGCGCGGGAGGCGTCGCCTTGCCGCGCGTGGGTAGTGAGCTCGCCCATGTAGTGCAGGTTCTATTGAAGGTGAGCGACGCTACAACGAAGCAGAACCTGCCGCAGTTCATCCATCAGGCAACAGCGCGGCGGGACGTTGTGAAGCACCATATCAAAAAGATGATATCCCGCGGGCACCGGGCGTTCGCGCACGAGGACGCGGCCCGCGTGGATGCGCGCGCAGAGAGCCTGCCGAGGAACGGCGTTCCGCCAGAACTCATTCGCCTGCTTCCCTATGACAACCACTTGGACAAGGTGATGGCGCAAAAAAGCGCGACGCCGTCGGATGGCGCGAAAGCGACGGTCGAAGAAGCCTGCGAGGACGTGAATCGCCGCATCCCGAACATGGTGGTGATGGAGAAGTCCAGCTTTAATGACGTGGACGCGAACGCGATGACGGAGTCCGCGTTCGCGCGGCTCGCGGGAGGCGTCGGTGATGTGACAGCGGAAGCTGGCGACGACCAGAAAGCGCCGAGCGGGCTGGGCGACGCAGGAGTGCGCTTCGCAGCTGCAGCGTGGAGAGATCACGTTGTTGCATTGACCGCGCACTTTCTCGGCGATCGGGAGAACGGGCGTTTGCGGTGCACGAGCAGTGGAATGCGCAGCGTGGCTGAGGTCGGGGAGACCACTCAGCGGCACAACCTCGTGCTCATGGACGAAGCGGGTCGCGGCACCTGGGCGGGAAAAATGCGTTTGCGCCTGGTTGTGTCGCCAGGCACCGAGATGATGAGCCAGTTCGTGCCTTGGTTTTTTGGCGTGGCTTTCCCTTTCTGTTTCAAGTTCGGCACGGGCATGCCAGACATGCCGGAGTGGTCAGAGACGAGTCGCCACAGGCGGGGGCCGGAGGCCCCAAGAGTCGAACTTCCTCTCTGGACGCGCATCATGACCCGGCGCGTGGAATCGCAGCTCCGGCGAGATTGGCGGTTTGGCTTCACGACGTCTTCGTTATTGTACCAGAGCGCTCTGAACACGTCGAGAAGCATGCGTTAATTCGCGGACCACGAGCAGGTGGAAGATCAGGGGGACCGCGACTTCTCGTACATGGAAGAAGCAGCGGTCAGCATAGTGGAAGCGCTGCGGGGGAGCTACGAGGAGCCAGGCACCGGTCAACGTCGCGCGGTGAACGGCGATGTGAACAAGTTGAAATTTGTGACGTCGTTGTCAGAGACCGCGCAGCGGATGGTTCGGGGGGCGCAGGCAATCAACCGGAAGATCGCGGGAACGAATGAGGTGCGGACACTGATGCGGTACGACAC